CGATTCAGAGAAGTCTGAGAAAATGCAGCAACCATCTCACTGAACAATCTGCCATATTCTAACGCACCCGTATACGACCCACCTCACTCCACTCCGCACCTGCACACGATCCACACCCACTCCACTACTTTAGTTTTACTGATCTTTCTTTTTTAGTTTTTCCTCTATCAGTTGTAATGACGGAATTGTAGGCTTCAGTTGCCTATAAATCTAGCCACCGTTTAGCAAGAAGGTAGATAGTAAAATTCAGAACATGTTGTTTACTTCGCACCTTAAGTAGAGAACAATTTTCATTCTTTCTTACTGTTTTGATTGAGACCGCATCAGTGGTATCAGAGAAGAGTTTATGTCAACCAACAAAGAGAGGATCGAAAACCTGGAGACTAGTTTTGGCAATATGCAAGATTAGTTGAGTCGAATGGAGCTGGGTACAGTTGACAAACTCCACCAATTGGAGGACGCTATTCGACGGTTGACTGATACTCTCGTACATAATTGAGAAGGATCCAGCAGCCACCATATGAATCACCCACTTCCTGCACAAACAAACAGAAAAGACTACCCTGAGAGAACCGAAGGAAGCCAACCATCGTTCCATTCCCGCATGGCGAAGCTCGACTTCTCCACTTTTTTGGTGATGACCCGACAGAATGGTTGAATAGAGTTGTTGAATAGAGTTGAGCAACTCTTCAACTTCCAGAATAAAAAGGAGGGGCACAAGGTTTCTCTGGCATTTTTTGTAACGGTCCCAAAAATTCAAAAGAAAATACATATAATAATTGAGTGCGGAAATAAAATAAAACATTAAAATTAACAACGCTTACGCAATAATTTAAAAGTACTAAACAACATTACGTAATAAATTCTCTGAAAGAAATACAAGAAATGAGAAAAATAAAAGAAACTAATAAGCATCTAGCATCTACTCGCCGTCTTCTTGTAGATCGAGCTCGGGAACCAGATCCTCTTGATCTGAAATGGTCAAATAAGGAATGAGCTACACTAGCCCAGTAAGGATATCACACTATATCACCGTCACAGAAGTAAAGGTTGGTAGAAAACCAAAAACAACCAATGAAGTACAAATTTTAAACTAATACATTTATTTAAAAATAAAACCATTTACCTTTTTTCTTACCCTTAGAGAACCTATGAAAACAACCTATAAAGACAATAACATCATACAGATAACAATTTCATGCATAATTAGTAACATAAAATATATCATAAATCCGTATTTATTAACAATAACTGATTATCACCGTTTCTCGTTTTCACCAGCCTACTAATATCTATGGGGATCCATATGGGTATCATCGCTACACGTGAACCATTCTTCTTAATAATCTTAATTCCAGAGCCGTCCCCATACCCCGTCCGGTATGAGCGCCAAGACATTAAACCTCAATACTCCGTCCGGTATGAGAGTAAAGTGGACCGTCCCCATACCCCATTCGGTATGAGCGCCAAACGACCAAGTCTCCATACCCCGTCCGGTATGAGATAACGTTCACGGTAGGGTTCTCTATGAACCCAGTCCGTTCACCATCTCCCTGGATATCTAGTGAAGCTGTCACCTTATCTGTTTTCCCTTAGTCTCCGTTACCAAGTTGAACATAATTACATAAACAATAAACATGCACCCGGTAATATAATCATATCTTAAATTTCAAAATCACACAGTGGTCAAGTAAGACAGTAATACATTAATTTAAACTATACAATATATAAACTAGATATCATCATACTTTTAAACTGTACAATAAATCAACAGTAATCGACAGAAAACAATGTTCGATGTGGACTCCGTTAGCAATCCGTAATTAATCAAGCACATCCATTTAATTTGTGTAAAGGACCATGTTATTTTTTTTGAACTTTAATTCCATGATAGGAAATAGAGTGAGGGGTTCTTACTTGGTTCGACGCCGAAAGCTGGATTGTTACTGTGTCTACGGGCGGTCCTTGGGTTCCCTGAATTTTTTTTCGGGAACTGAAACACGCTTACGGTATCCACACATATCCCAAATAACCCAAAAATCAGACCCAGGGCCTACTTAGCCAATTTTAAAATTCTGGCACGGCGGCTCTGTAGTACTCTGGCGACGGCGATCCGCCTCGGGTTGACTGTTTTCGACTAAATTCAGCCAAACTTGCATCGGTTTCTGTGAGAAAACACACTTAGGGTCTTCGATGGGCCGAAAAAACGTAAAAAACTGAAACTCACCGGCGGTGCAGCTCTCTGGTGCGGCGGCTCCTTCGGCTCACGTTGTAGTTGGGTGTTTTGCTCCGGTCAACCTCGTTTGGCGGCCATAAATTACTCCGATGTGGCGACGGGTGGCGGCGGTCGGCTCCCCGACGACTGGGCTATCTTCTCCGGCGAGGGGCTCTGGAGACTAGGGTTAGGGTTTAGGTGCGGATGAGGTTATTTATACCCATCCACTTTTGATTTGGGTCGTCCATCACTTTTAGTCTGAACCGTCCGATCGTGATTAAATAGGGAGTGAATTTGAGCCGTTCATCGTGATTCAATTTGAGCCGTCCGTGCGATTCAATCTGGGTCGTCTGTGCGCGATGCAATCTGGGCCATCCGTGCGTGCGGGAACGGATCTCAGTCGTTCGATCGCGCGCACGCGGATCACCAACGTGGCTCCCCTCGCGTGGCCTCCTGCGTCAGTGTCTCTGCCACCTAGCGTGTCCTGCTTGGTTGGGGCAGCTGACCGAGCAGCTGACGAGTCTTAACTTTTTTAAATTACGTTTTAACCCCTGGTTTCTGATTTTTCTTTTAAAAATATCCCCAAAATTCAAATTTTCACTATTTTTCCTAAAATTATTTTTAATTAAATCCCTAACCAATTTTTTCCATTATTATTATTATTATTATTAAATTAAAATTAAATAAATCAAATTAAAATTACATAAA